ATTAAGCCATCAGTGCGTGATGAGTTTGTTATTAAGCCATCAGTGTGTGATGAGTTTATTAGTAAGCAATCAGTGCGTGATGAGTTTATTAGTAAGCCATCAGTGCGTGATGAGTTTATTAGTAAGCCATCAGTGCGTGATGAGTTTGTTATTAAGCCATCAGTGCATGATGTGTTTATTAGTAAGCCATCATTGCGTGATGTGTTTATTATTAAGCCATCAGTGCGTGATGTGTTTATTAGTAAGCCATCAGTGCGTGATGAGTTTATTATTAAGCCATCAGTGCGTGATGTGTTTATTAGTAAGCCATCAGTGCGTGATGAGTTTATTATTAAGCCATCAGTGCGTGATGAGTTTATTAGTAAGCCATCAATGCGTGATGAGTTTATTAGTAAGCCATCAGTACGTAATGAGTTTATTAGTAAGCCATCAATGCGTGATGAATTTATTAGTAAGCCATCAGTGCGTGATGAGTTTATTAGTAAGCCATCAGTGTGTGATGTGTTTATTAGTAAGCCATCAATGCGTGATGAGTTTATTAGTAAGCCATCAGTACGTAATGAGTTTATTAGTAAGCTATCAGTGTGTGATGAGTTTATTAGTAAGCCATCAATGCGTGATGAGTTTATTAGTAAGCCATCAGTACGTAATGAGTTTATTAGTAAGCTATCAGTGTGTGATAAGTTTATTAGTAAGCCATCAATGCGTGATGTGTTTATTAGTAAGCCATCATTGCGTGATGAGTTTATTAGTAAGCCATCAATGCGTGATGAGTTTATTAGTAAGCTATCCGTGCGTAATGAGTTTATTAGTAAGCCATCATTGCGTGATGAGTTTATTAGTAAGCCATCAATGCGTGATGTGTTTATTAGTAAGCTATCCGTGCGTAATGAGTTTATTAGTAAGCCATCATTGCGTGATGAGTTTATTAGTAAGCTATCCGTGCGTAATGAGTTTATTAGTAAGCCATCATTGCGTGATGAGTTTATTAGTAAGCCATCAATGCGTGATGTGTTTATTACTAAGCCATCAATGAGTAATGAGTTTATTAGTAAGCCATCAATGAGTAATGAGTTTATTAGTAAGCCATCAATGCGTGATGTGTTTATTAGTAAGCTATCCGTGCGTAATGAGTTTTTTAGTAAGCCATCATTGCGTGATGAGTTTATTAGTAAGCTATCCGTGCGTAATGAGTTTATTAGTAAGCCATCATTGAGTAATGAGTTTATTAGTAAGCCATCATTGCGTGATGAGTTTATTAGTAAGCTATCCGTGCGTAATGAGTTTATTAGTAAGCCATCAATGAGTAATGAGTTTATTAGTAAGCCATCAATGAGTAATGAGTTTATTAGTAAGCCATCAATGCGTGATGTGTTTATTAGTAAGCTATCCGTGCGTAATGAGTTTATTAGTAAGCCATCATTGCGTGATGAGTTTATTAGTAAGCTATCCGTGCGTAATGAGTTTATTAGTAAGCCATCATTGCGTGATGAGTTTATTAGTAAACCATCAATGCGTGATGTGTTTTTTAGTAAGCCATCAATGAGTAATGAGTTTATTAGTAAGCCATCAATGCGTGATGAGTTTATTATTAAGCCATCAGTGCGTGATGTGTTTATTAGTAAGCCATCAGTGCGTGATGAGTTTATTATTAAGCCATCAGTGCGTGATGTGTTTATTAGTAAGCCATCAGTGCGTGATGAGTTTATTATTAAGCCATCAGTGCGTGATGAGTTTATTAGTAAGCCATCAATGCGTGATGAGTTTATTAGTAAGCCATCAGTACGTAATGAGTTTATTAGTAAGCCATCATTGCGTGATGAGTTTATTAGTAAGCCATCAGTGCGTGATGAGTTTATTAGTAAGCCATCAGTGTGTGATGTGTTTATTAGTAAGCCATCAATGCGTGATGAGTTTATTAGTAAGCCATCAGTACGTAATGAGTTTATTAGTAAGCTATCAGTGTGTGATGAGTTTATTAGTAAGCTATCCGTGCGTAATGAGTTTATTAGTAAGCCATCATTGCGTGATGAGTTTATTAGTAAGCTATCCGTGCGTAATGAGTTTGTTAGTAAGCCATCATTGAGTAATGAGTTTATTAGTAAGCTATCATTGCGTGATGAGTTTATTAGTAAGCTATCCGTGCGTAATGAGTTTATTAGTAAGCCATCAATGAGTAATGTGTTTATTAGTAAGCCATCATTGCGTGATGAGTTTATTAGTAAGCCATCAATGCGTGATGAGTTTATTAGTAAGCCATCAATGCGTGATGAGTTTATTAGTAAGCCATCAGTACGTAATGAGTTTATTAGTAAGCTATCAGTGTGTGATAAGTTTATTAGTAAGCCATCAATGCGTGATGTGTTTATTAGTAAGCCATCATTGCGTGATGAGTTTATTAGTAAGCCATCAATGCGTGATGAGTTTATTAGTAAGCTATCCGTGCGTAATGAGTTTATTAGTAAGCCACCATTGCGTGATGAGTTTATTAGTAAGCCATCAATGCGTGATGTGTTTATTAGTAAGCTATCCGTGCGTAATGAGTTTATTAGTAAGCCATCATTGCGTGATGAGTTTATTAGTAAGCTATCCGTGCGTAATGAGTTTATTAGTAAGCCATCATTGCGTGATGAGTTTATTAGTAAGCCATCAATGCGTGATGTGTTTATTAGTAAGCCATCAATGAGTAATGAGTTTATTAGTAAGCCATCAATGCGTGATGTGTTTATTAGTAAGCTATCCGTGCGTAATGAGTTTATTAGTAAGCCATCATTGCGTGATGAGTTTATTAGTAAGCTATCCGTGCGTAATGAGTTTATTAGTAAGCCATCATTGAGTAATGAGTTTATTAGTAAGCCATCATTGCGTGATGAGTTTATTAGTAAGCTATCCGTGCGTAATGAGTTTATTAGTAAGCCATCACTGAGTAATGAGTTTATTAGTAAGCCATCAATGAGTAATGAGTTTATTAGTAAGCCATCAATGCGTGATGTGTTTATTAGTAAGCTATCCGTGCGTAATGAGTTTATTAGTAAGCCATCATTGCGTGATGAGTTTATTAGTAAGCTATCCGTGCGTAATGAGTTTATTAGTAAGCCATCATTGCGTGATGAGTTTATTAGTAAACCATCAATGCGTGATGTGTTTTTTAGTAAGCCATCAATGAGTAATGAGTTTATTAGTAAGCCATCAATGCGTGATGAGTTTATTAGTAAGCCATCAATGTGCGATGAGTTTATTATTTAGCCATCAATGAGTAATGAGTTTATTAGTAAGCCATCAATGCGTGATGAGTTTATTAAGAAGCCATCAATGTGCGATGAGTTTATTATTAAGCCATCAATGAGTAATGAGTTTATTAGTAAGCCATCAATGTGCGATGAGTTTATTATTAAGCCATCAATGAGTAATGAGTTTATTAGTAAGCCATCAATGCGTGATGAGTTTATTAGTAAGCCATCAATGCGTGATGAGTTTATTAGTAAGCCATCAATGCGTGATGAGTTTATTAGTAAGCTATCCGTGCGTAATGAGTTTATTAGTAAGCTATCCGTGCGTAATGTGTTTATTAGTAAGCCATCAGTGCGTGATGAGTTTATTAGTAAGCCATCAGTGCGTGATGAGTTTATTAGTAAGCCATCAGTGCCTGATGAGTTTATTAGTAAGCCATCATTGTGCGATGAGTTTATTAGTAAGCCATCATTGCGTGATGAGTTTATTAGTAAGCCATCATTGCGTGATGAGTTTATTAGTAAGCAATCATTGCGTGATGAGTTTATTAGTAAGCCATCAGTGCATGATGAGTTTATTAGTAAGCCATCATTGCGTGATGAGTTTATTAGTAAGCCATCAGTGCGTGATGAGTTTATTAGTAAGCCATCATTGCGTGATGAGTTTATTAGTATGCAATCTTTGCGTGATGAGTTTATTAGTAAGCCATCAGTGCGTGATGAGTTTATTAGTAAGCCATCAATGCGTGATAAGTTTATTAGTAAGCCATCAGTACGTGATAAGTTTATTAGTAAGCCATCAGTGTGCGATGAGTTTATTAGTAAGCCATCAGTACGTGATAAGTTTATTAGTAAGCCATCAGTACGTGATAAGTTTATTAGTAAGCCATCAATGCGTGATGAGTTTATTAGTAAGCCATCTGTACGTGATGAGTTTATTAGTAAGCCATCAGTGCGTGATGAGTTTATTAGTAAACCATCAATGCGTGATGAGTTTATTAGTAAGCCATCAGTGCGTGATGAGTTTATTAGTAAGCCATCAGTGCCTGATGAGTTTATTAGTAAGCCATCAGTGCGTGATGAGTTTATTAGTAAACCATCAGTGCGTGATGAGTTTATTAGTAAGCCATCAATGCGTGATGAGTTTATTAGTAAGCCATCAGTGCGTGATGAGTTTATTAGTAAGCCATCAGTGCCTGATGAGTTTATTAGTAAGCCATCATTGTGCGATGAGTTTATTAGTAAGCCATCAGTGCGTAATGAGTTTATTAGTAAGCAATCAATGTGTGATGAGTTTATTAGTAAGCAATCAATGCGTGATGTGTTTATTAGTAAGCCATCAGTGCGTGATGTGTTTATTAGTAAGCAATCAATGTGTGATGAGTTTATTAGTAAGCAATCAATGCGTGATGTGTTTATTAGTAAGCCATCCGTGCGTAATGAGTTTATTAGTAAGCCATCCGTGCGTAATGAGTTTATTAGTAAGCTATCAGTGTGTGATGAGTTTATTAGTAAGCAATCAGTGTCTGATGAGTTTATTGATACTGAATGAGATTAGACGAATAAAAGCACGGCGATTCGTAATGTCGGAATAGCATCAACGATCGATCACTTTGTCCCTCCGGCACGCCACTACGAGGTAGTTTTTTTTTTTTTTTTTAACCATCCTTACAATAGAAAAAAAAAAAAAATTAAAGTAATGTCATTACGACAAGAGTTTAAATGTGAAGTGGAAGCATGTACACATTTTATCTACACTGGTGTTTTCAGACGTTCGATTACTTTGGGCAGAAGGTATGCAACTTCAGTCCCTACCCAGAGATCGCAGCAACATTTGGTGTATACAAGCATGATCCGTTTGTACTTACAGCCGTGACCAATCTCTGGGCCAGATGTGCCTTTGAAGAGAAGTGCATGTCCCCGAGGGACACAATGCCTTCCCTCCGTTGCCGTTACGGGCCTTGTCACAGGTAATACTGACAGAAAACTAATCTTTGATTGCAATTCTTCCTATGCAATACAACAATCTGACATTGTATTATACTTTAGTTCTTATAATATAATACTGAGAACCTATATTGTATTCTTCTTAAGTTTATTCTTCTAAGTACATTAACCTGATATAATGTACTTTGCTTCATCCATTTACTTCATACTTTATAATTCAGGAATTAATATTGCATTCCGCTTCGGTTCAATTTGAATAACACAGCAGGTTGGCAATATTTTCTACTTTAATTCACCCTACGTATTTAACCCCCCCCCCCCCCCCCCGAACATGCTCTGGCTATCCTCACTGTCAGTGTTACACACATTGAAGGATTTGAAAAGTGTAAAATAAGGCCCTGCGCATAATTTTGGGAAATACAAGAGATACACTTCCTGTGCAGAAGTGAGATATCCGCTTGGCTTTCTAATCATGAATCAAAGGATTAGGGTCTGGGGTGCTAAGGCATACTTTAAAGTATGCTCTGATAAGAAGCACCCACTGCCTTAGGCGCTTTTCAGTGGACAGGGTGACGTGCTGAAGAGGGGAAAATCATGGCTAGGTCAATCAAATGGATTTTATCAAACAAATATGCAGCCTAAACGATTTCAACCGTAGTGCAGAGTGGATACCAGTGCCTCATGTACGTTTTCCGGCATTGCCACGCTTGACAGGTTATGCAGGGAGCAGAATCCTGTTGTTGTCAAAACAGGTCAACGCTCTCATCTGTGAAATTTCAGACGATGCAGATGTCCTGATCTACAAAGACTGTTCCGCTACACGCCAACAGAGAAGCGCATGGGCATTCACAGCACTTTCAGCGGACAGAGCAGTCAAAGTAGCCAAGTGCGCTTTCTCCATGACAACCAGCAGTATGACAATGGAGGTGATGGCTGTGGCTCGAAAACACAAAACTACACCCGCGCATGTGTACTTAGTGATTCAACGAGTATGATCCGGAGGGTTCAGGTAGGGTCAATGCGAAGACAATGGCTTGAATCATTACAGAGGTCCACTGTGCGTGGAGTCACCTTTTTTCCATTCCGAAACTCGCGGGCATGATGGCATTTGAAAGCTGATAGGTTGGCTGGATTACTACCGACGGTCAGCCTATAGATCATACCGATATTATCAATGCCATCCGAAAAATGGGAAGGGCGGAGGTCTTTGGAGACAGCGAACCATCATCTCTCGCCAGAGAGGTGGACTTAGCAGTTAAGATAGGCAGAGCAAAAAACAGGACGCACACCAGGAACATCAGAGGACTTCTTAATCAGCATAGAACTGGTACTATTAGCCACCGAATGCTGGGGTTCATACTGAGGGGAAGATCTGAGCACCTATGGACATGTTCGGAGTGTAATGATGATAACCCAACTAACTAAATGACTAGATAATTAACATACACACGCACACACCTACACATATGTATATTTGATTTTTCCTCAGCTGTATCTTTATGTGCAATATATGAATCGTCGAAGATTTTGTAAAGTAATTTAGCCCTTTGCACATAATTATTCTGACAGTCACTCCCCCGTCCGATTTTCCCTTTCGCCCAGTTCTTCCTTAGCTTAGTTGTTACAAGTCATAGGCCTTGATTTGGAAAAATTAAAACCTCCAACCAACTGACAGACTAGGTCTAAAAAATCCATAAAGGAAAGACACAGATAATGAGAATGAATAAGGAGAATAGTAGTGTGGTTTCTCTCAATGGTACCTCACTCCAAGACCCGGAGTTGTACATCTATTTGGGCAGTAATATAGATAAAGACGGGGGAACTGACAAAGATGTTTTAAAAATAAAAGAGAATACAAAAGGCAAAAGGAGCTTTCATAGAGAGTTAGTGGAGGTCAACAGAAATTAAAAGAAATACTGAACTTAAAATTTTTAATTCTAATGTCAAATCAATACTTTTGTATGGGGCGGAAACATGGAGAACAACCAAGGCAATTACTAATAAATTACAGACATTCATTAATTGATGCTTTTGCATATTAGAGGGAATCAAATGGTATGATATAATAACTAATGTAAAACTTTAGGAGAGAACTAAGAAAGCTTCAGTGGACCAAGATATGAGGAAAAGACGCTGGCGTTGGATAGGACACACACTGAGAAAACCGGAGAACAGCATAACTAGAATGGCTTTGCATTGGAACCCACAGAGGCATAGGAATAAAGGAAGGCTAAAAACACACACGAAGAAGAAAGCTGGAGAATGAAGTTAGAAAGATGGAAGGAACAAAACACAAGTAATATACTTCAGGTGGTCTTCATTACGCTTTTATGTTGAGTAGATTTGATCAAATGGTTTGTATGTATTAATTTAATTTTATAAAATGCTACAAATAATCTCCTTATGCAGTGTTTGCTCTTTCTTTCCGATGGTGTAGGTTCGACCAATCAGCGTTGACAATTATAACAACCACTTTGTACGGCTCGAAGATCTACAGAATTGTTCGACCCCCGGAAGATTTACCACAGTATATCATCATCCGCAGAGACGACAAGAAAGCTAATTACTTTTACAGCATCGGTTGTCTTAAATGAAAATATACAGTTAACGTTAAAGCAATAGAAAAAAGACTAGAAAAACTGTAAAGATTTTTTAAAACGTTATTTAAATATACTCATTCCATTAAAAACTGTTTTATATTTTTATGCAAACTGTAACATCACAAATGTAGAATCTAGGTATTTATGTGAATAATAATAATAATAATAATAATAATAATAATAATAAAAATTTAATAATAATAATAATAATAATAATAATAATAATATAATAATAATAATAATAATAATAATAATAATAATAATAATAATAATAATAATCGTCATCATCACCATATGGTTATGTCAGAAGTTTAGGCAATCATATTTGCCATCTCACATAGTCACAGGAAATCATGGAACAGTTCTACGTTCTTGACTCGAATACAGTATCCGCCTAAGTCATCCAGTTGTTTCATATTTGTTTTCTTTTTCTAATTTATGTTGATCTTTGCCAATTGTCACTTCATTTTTTTGAGACCATTTGATGATCAGAAATCTGGATAGTCAATGTCTAATTTTCTAGTTAGTTTAGGATTTTTGCCTGTCTCTTGCAAGACTATCTAGTGCCCCTCCTCCCCCCCCCCCCACCCCATCCCTTTCAACCATTCATGATATCCCCAGAAAGCAGATTTTCTTTGCCATAAAATTAGTTAGTTAGTTAGTCTTTCCTCTTGTGTCGAGTGCGGCACATAGGGCAGAGGTCGCGACTCTCCATGCACGGCGGTCCGTTGCAATCCGTTGTAGGTCTTGGATGTTTGAGTGGCCCATGAGCGAGCCTTCCCTGATGATAGTTCTACGTAGGGTTTCCCTTGGTCTTCCACGAGATCTTTTCCCCTGTGGTGTCCAAATGAGGGCTTGGTAAGGAAGTCTTGATTTATCCATTCTAAGGGCGTGGCCGACATAGTTCCAGCGGCGTTTTCGTTTAAAATTAGACACATACTCTTGCCTGGATTCTTGCCTTATTTGTGTATTGGTTCGGAAATCTGACCATTTGAAATTTAGTATTCTTCTAAGGCATTTATTTTCAAAACTGTCTAATTTTGTGTCTAGAGTTTTCGTTGATTTCCAGCTCTCGCATCCATAGGTTAGTACTGGAATCACACAAGAATTGAAGATCTTGAGTTTTGTGTGTTTGCTAAGTGTCTTTGATTTCCAGATGTTTGACAGTTTATTGAAGGCACTAGATGCCAGTGCTATTCTAAATGATATTTCTGGTGCGGTATCTCCTGTAGATGACATCTTGCTCCCTAGATAAGTGAAACTGTTGACTTTTTCAAGGCTGTTGTTGTTCAGCGTGATATCAACTGAACTGTTGGTAAGGTCTAGAATTTTTGTTTTTGCGGTGTTAATTGCCATAAAATAGTGTTACTAAAATGGTACTAGATGCCAAATAATGATTTTTATTGCATCTGTGAAAAAGGTATGACTACAATATCAAATTCTTTGGTGTCCTTCCTTAGCCTTTGTGTCTTGTAAGTATTTCACAATTCCTGGCTTCGGAGTTTGTGTAATACGCTGGGATTCTTTTGACTCAGGCTTGAGTTAGACGTAGAACGGAGCACTTATGGGCTACTACCCTTGTGCTATGAGGTTAATCTGTTCTTTAAACTTAATTAAACCTGAACGTGTCATAATATATTCCCGTGTGGGTTCCGAGATTCTATTCTACGGTCGAAAAGGGAGGGGGGGGGGGGGGGAGTGGCAGAGACGTGGATATACCAACTTTCCCTCAATAATTACTTTTCAAATGGCGACTAATTAGAGTTTTGTCAAAATCTAATACGTTAGGGCAGATATCATTGCCCCGTTGTAAACTTTTGCCAACGGCGGTATTCAGCGGAGCGCTGAAGTCGTCCCCATAGAGGTCATGTTTGGTCCACCGTCAAAGAACTTTAAACATGACAAGCTATGGGCTGTCTCAAGAACAGTCCCACTGTTTTAAGTTACTCTGATAACGCTAAACAGATACTCATCGTTGTCACAGGCTGCCCCGTATTCTAGCAGATGAAAAAAAAAAATATATATATATATATAGGTCTCTTTTCCACGCCTTTAGGCGTATTGGGAATGTAGGGCTAGATTGACCAATCGGTACTTGGTGGGTGATGTTCCAGCATCACACCTCTCGCCTTTACTTCCAAGGACTGCACCTGGTACCCACTCAAGGCTGGGTCGACCTGAGAGTCAAGTTCATTTTTTAAAATAAGTCCGGCTCCGTCAGGACGCGAACTCCCGACCTTCCGATCCGCATGCTGGCGTCTAGCCGCCAACGCCACGACGACTTATCATTTTAACGAACGTAGTTATTATTCCGTTGATTATTGAATCGAATACGAATTATGCAGAGCTTTATGAGGCAGGCCTCATGTTTGGAAATGAATTTTTACTTCAAATAATAGTTTGGAACGTGATAAGAGACTGCGTGTTCTTGTAAACATTGCCATTACTATTACTGAAATCATATACAGTAGAACCTCGCTTAACGAGTACCTTTCATAACGAGTAATTCGTATAACGAGCAAACCAAATTGTAAAAGAATGACTTGCTTAACGAGCGACGTTTCGCATAACGAGTGGCGAGGAGAGAAGTCCCAGATTGTGCTCATGTTACTTCAGTCTGTGTTTAGCAATCGCTCCAGTAGCATCATATTGTCGCTTGTGATCAAACGTTTGCTCAAACTTGTGCTATATGGTGATAAATGTACATGAATCCTCCAGGCCTACAAGATTACCTGCATGAAGAATTTAAGTTCATGAAGATCCAGTTTCTGCCTCCCAACACCACTCCGTTACTCCAGCCAAGGGACCAGCAAGTTATTTCTAACTTCAAGAAGCTCTACACTAAAGCACTCTCCGAGCATTGTTTACGGGTGACTGAAGGGACCAACTCACTCTCAAAGAGTTTTGAAAAAATCACTTTCACGTCGTTGCCTGCCTCAAGATGATGGACAAGGCGTGGAAACGGGTTACAAAGAAAAACCCTAACTTCTGGTTGGAAGAAACTTTGGCCGGACAGCGTTGTCGAATGTGACTTTGAGGGGTTCGTGACAGTACCTGTGGAACCTTTAGTCATCGAGATTGTGTCTTCGGCCACAATCATAAGATTGGAGGTGGATAACAGTGATTTCGAAACGCTTGTGGAAGAGCACAGCCAAGAGCTGACCATCGAAGAGCTTATGGAGTTGCACTGTGTTTTACAGAAAGAAGTTTTGGAGGAAAGTTTGTCAGAGGAGGAGGTAACAGAAAAGCAATATCTTCTGGCGAAATAAGAGAAATGTTGAAAGCATGGGAAACTGTTGCATCTTACATTGAGAAGCATCACCCTAATAAGGAAGTGGCTATGCACGCTGCAAATTTATTTAATGATAATGCTTTGTCGCATTTTCGCCAAATTTTGATGCCTCGACAAAAACAAATATCTCTGGACATCTTTCTAGTAAAAGAATAATTAGCTATGAATCTTAATTTCTTCGACTTTTTTGTTTTGTTTTCTGCAAAGCGAATTCGCATTCCAGTTGGGTTTGTTCCGCGTTTGAAGAAAAGATGAAGATGATTCACTCTCCCTAACACTATGTATATAATTTTCTTTGAATAAACGTTATACACAACATTTTGTGAGTATTTTTTTTTTCGACATGGAACGCAATATCGTATTTTACATTCATTTATATGAGAAAAAGTGTTTCGCTGAAAGAGTATGATTCTGGAACGAATTATGCTCGTTAAGCGAGGTTCCACTGTACTCTAAATTATGGCCGAAAAATCTGCCTCGTCCGAACCGACTGTTTGACTGATAGTATAAACAGGCTTTGTTTGTTTTGTTTTTTGATACTTCATTTGTAATCCACCACAAAGGAAATCCAGAAGCTTACGTCAAAGTACAATATTCTCGTGGTGTTGTGAATTGGGGCTAGGGTTCTGATTAGGGCTAGGGATTAGGGCTAGGGATTAGGGCTAGGGATTAGGGCTAGGGATTAGGGCTAGGGATTAGGGCTAGGAATAGGAATAGGCTTAGTCAGTGTCTCTGATGGTCGTGGCTGAAAAAGATACTAACCAGAACACCCTATAGTATTGGACTGTGGCGGAAACTCCTTGATTTCTTTTGTTGAGGTGAATTTAAAATAAAGAACCTTTTCATTAAAGTCTGGAATATTTAGTGGGAGGAAAAAAAAATATGTCGGTATTGTGTTCCACGAGAAAAAAAATCATCCCTATATTCCTCGAGTGGCTTCCTGTGCCATATTAAGGGGAATAACAACAGCAGACCAACTCCTACTCTGAAGCATTTTGTAAGAGTTGTCCAATAGGGCCCTTTTAAATAGACCAGGTCCAGAGGTTCTTCCAGATATCCAGCCTCTAGAAATGGAACTGGATATCAACTGTGAGATACCATCTAAAGAGAAAATTAGAAAAGCTATCAATCTTCTCAAGAAAGGAAAGGCGGCAGGCCAAGATGGTATCCCAGCTGAAACCAACAGGACCAACATAAACAAATCAACAGAATTGCTACACAAATTATTTAGTAAAGTCTTGGAGACCGATGAAATACCAGCAGACTGGAGAGAGGGATATCTTGTGAAACTGCCCAAAGAAAGGTGATTTACAGGAGTGTGAAAACTATAGAGGAATTATGTTGCTGTCAGTTCCTGGTAAAATATTAAACATATTTATTTTGGAAAGATTAAAAGATGCTTTTGATAAAAAGCTAAGAGATGAGCAGGCAGGTTTTCGGTCAAACAGATCCTGTACTGACTAGATAGCCACATTACGTATTATAATAGAGCAAAGCATTGAATTGAACTCACCACTTTACATTGGATTTATAGACTACAAAAATGCATTTGACAGCATTGTTGGGAATCTCTCTGGAAATTGATGGGGCACTATGGAATTCCTTAGAAAATCATTAACATGGTAATGGCAACATGTAAAGACATGACATGTCGAGTTCTTCATGAGGGAAAGCTAACAGGTACATTTGAAATAAAAAAAAA